CCCCTGGGTGCTTATGATTATGATTAGGCTTAAGGCCCTAAACCCTAAACCCTAAACCCTAAACCCTAAACCCTTCTGTCTGCCCTGACACAGCAAAGACGTGCGGAAAGATCAGCGGGATGCCAGCTAGGGCCCCCAAATCCCAAACTCTAAGCTCCGCACCCTGTCGCATGAGCACTTGTCTACTTCAGGTTTTTTGTACAATTAGGGGGTTTAGGGTTTAGGGTTGAGGGTTATTTAAAAATCCTAAAACCCTAAACCCTAAACCCCTTATATAGAACTGAGACTTTACACTTGCTTGGCCTTATGAACTCAGCAACCAAGAGCACGCTCCCGAATCCTCTCGAGGTGGAAGCCCTGAACCCCCCAACCCTAAACCCCTGAACCCCTAAACCCATAAGCCCTGGCTGAGGATTTAGGGTTTAAGGGTTTAGGATTTAGGGTTTAAAGTTTAGGGGTTTAGGACTTAGGGTTTAGGGCTTAAGGGTTCTAAAAGGGTTTCGGGTTACAGAACCCTAAACGCGGAGGCCCTGAACCCCGGTTAGGGTTTGGGGTCTAGGGTTCAGGGCCTGGGGTTTGGAGGAGGCCTACGGAATGGGTTTCCGAATCATACAGACCCCGTATACTGCATACAAATCCTCAGCAGTAGAGTAGGTGACGTTTAACCCTTTTGGGGTAGTGGATTCCCGAAAAAATCTCACAGCTTGACCGTTAGTTCCTTTAGGCACCGGACAAGTACTAAACTCAACCTTAAAACCTCAACCCAGAGCCCTAAACCCGAAACCCTCAACCCTAAACCCTAAACCCAGAGCCCATAACCCACAACCCATAACCCTCAACCCTAAACCCTAAACCCAAAGCCCATAACCCACAACCCACAACCCATAACCCTAAACCCTAAAACCTACAGTCCGAGGGGCTACTGGGGAACCCGAGCTTAGGGTTTCAGGGTTTAGGGTCTTCGGGCTCAGGGGTTTAGGGTTTAGGGGTTTCGTTTAGGGATTTAAGGTTTTGGGTTTAGGGGTTTGGGGTTTGGGGTTTAGGGTCTCAGGTCTGGGCGTGCGCAAAGCTGAACTTTCTCCATGTCCGGCTGCTCGTCTAAACCCACATACGGACAGTCGATTCCAAATCGAAGGAATAGAGGCAAGTAGCCGTGTGCGCTTACTGGTACACTGGTAAACCCTTCGCCCCAAACTTTTCGATCAGAATGAGGACGTGGAAACTCGAATTCAGGGATCAAGGCGTAGGTTTATTCAAGGCCTTCGAGTTCGTTGCTTTTTGACTGATAATGCGTAGCAGTACTGGCAGCTGTAGTAGTAGTCGTCGTCGCCGTAGAAATTGCCGCAGGTGGTAATGCTTATGATGGCCGGATGCACAGGCATCAGCGCGCGTACTCGTGTCGACCAGAGCGAACTGCCAGTGATCTGAGAATGCAGGGCTATTGGTAGTGAGAATGAAGTGAAGGGTGCAAGAGGGCTGGATGTTTGGTTCGGGACAGCTCGAGTTCGGATGGCTTGGGATCGTAGTCGCTTTGATGTGCAACGTGCCTCCTATGCCATTCCTAGATCAAATCAACCCGATCCTTTGGAGTTCAGGGTTTAGGGTTTCGGGCTGGACATCCCCAAAGCCTGCTCGAAGTGAGGGGTTTGTTGCTTGCTAAACCTATCGGAGGGCTGTCGTATATTCCCTAAAGCCTGTTCAAGTTCATCGTGTCTTGTGTTTCAAGTTTCCCAAATTTCTCATTATTCCTTAGGATTTCCTATCTTGCAGTCATGCACGATATTATAACCCCAAACTCTGTTCGAATTACTTAGGCCCCTATTTTACCGTGTTGACCTCAGCTCAAAACCTGCACGGTTCGAGGCTCCTCGTCGCCATAGCAGATGCCGCACTGCCCTTGCTCGAGGAAGTAGGGGGTGAAGGCTTTAGTGTTTAGGGGTTTAGGGTGTAGGGCTTTAGGGTTTAGGGTGCTCCTATGTGTGAGCCGTTGGATTTAAATGCTGTTGACTGCTTGGCTACACTTGCCTTGCTGTTTCGGGCTTGTGGTTGTGGTTACGGTTGCGTTTGTACTTGCTTTGATTGGGTTATGGCAGCAGAAATAAATAATGCTGCCATGTGTGCTCTTCTTCTTGTGGTGGTGGGAGTAAGAAGGACGTCTTGAAAAGAAGAAGTGGTACGAACTATACGAACAATACTAATAAAAATAACAAGTAATAGTCGAATTAAAACCGATTGGTAAGGCACATCTCAGATTACACAAAGGAAAACCCGAATCTATGGGGGGATAGTTATAACGCTAACAATAGCCATCAAAGTGAAGATTCCATAACCCTAAACCCCTAAACCCTAAAACCACAACCCTAAACCCGAAACCCTAAACCCCTAAACCCTAAACCCCCAAAGCGAAGATTCTGACAGGATTTCACACCGCAGCATCTGTCGATCACTGCCTGGGGATTGGCGACGCTGGGCTTCCGGCATCTTCCCCTCATGGACGGCATTGCCAAGGAGGCCGCTGGGTTTAGGGTTTAGGGGTTTAGGGCTCAGAGTTCGTTCTTGAAAGTTTAGAGTTTCGGGTTTAGGGTTTAGGGCTGAGTGTTCCTTCTTGAAAGTTTAGGGTTTAGAGGGTTTAGGGTTAGGGCTCAGTGTTCATTCTTGAAAGTTTAGGGTTTAGGGTTTTGGTGTTGAAGCTGCTATCGTGTCTTGACAGTGGGATGGCACTGGTGCTCTTGTGGTCATCACTGTTTGTCTGCCGTTGGGCTTATGGTCGTGTCCTGGGCTTATGAATGAATATTAGGGACCCAAAAAGCACATAAGCATAAGCTTTATATAGGGATATCCCTACCTTATTGGGCTTCATTACAAGGGGATTTATATGGGATATCCGGATCCTAATTTTTGCTTGTGTGCTTTTTTGGGGCCCTAGAATACTCGCACTCTTCGCAAGAACTCAGTTTGGTGCTGGTGACGGAGTGTAGTGGGAGATTTATGGCAGGGTGAAGAGCTTTCGTCAACTTTGTCCTTCGGACTATTCCGACCTTCCTTATGATGCAGCTTTGTGGGGGGTTTCATTTTGAATTGCATGACTTACGGATGATTATCGGTTCTTTCCCAAGGACCCTATAGGGCCTGAACCATTATCCGGCTTGCATCTGGCCACTGTCAGCAGTGTGTGCTATGACTCGGTATGATCTGATGTAGCTGTCCTCTACCTCAAACCCTAAACAGCCTTAACCCGTAAACCCTAAACCCCTAAGCCTAAACCAACCCCGAACCTCAAACTCTATGTTTGAGTGGTTGGGCAGGTTCTGATCAATCTTCGCGCCTTCAAGGCTCAAAACATCGCCAACACGGCCGCTCGGATGGAGTTCCGAGCTTTTGCGCGAAGGTTCACGCTCAAGATGTAGGGAATGCAGGGTCTTGGAACTTGGGTGAATATAAGGGCCTTAATAGTTAGAACAGAGTTTGGCGGCCAACTAATTATAGTATACGTATAATAAGAAACCCCCTAAATAGCACAGGCAAATGTTCAGGCCCCTATTTTACCGTAGACCTTAAACCCCAAAAGCCGTGAGCCCTAATAAGTGAACCCTAAACCCTAAACCCTAAACCCTAGGGGCTTTGTGGCTGAGGCTTCGAGTTGATCCTGCGAAGACTGATGAGTTGGGCTCTGCGGTTGATGGCTTACAAGCATCGACCCTAAACCCTTAAAAACCCTTAGCCTTAAACCTTAAACTCTAGACCCTCTAAGCCCTAGACCCTAAGCAATGGTGGGTTTCGGGAGGAGTAGTGGCTGGAAGGTTTAAATGCTTGGAGCGTTCAGAAATTTTAGGATTTTAGGGTTTAGGGCTTAAGGTTTTAGGGTTTAGGGTTTTACGGGTTTCAGGGTTTAGGCATGTATTCAGGCCCTAAACCCTAAACCCTAAACCCTAAACCCTATAAGGGTGTGGGGTTTATGGCAAGCTAAGCCTCGGCCAGGCCTGGGCATATTCCACGCTCGGCATCTACCAACGCGACCTCTTCGACAAGCTTGCTGCACCTTGCCGATGTTGCGAAGTTCGGTTTAGGGCCTAGGGTTCATTTCTGGGCCTAAACCCTAAACCCTAAACCCTAAACCCTAAACCCTAAACCCTGAACCCTAAACCCTGAACCCTAAACCCTAAACCCTAAAGGGTTTCAGTTTAGGGCTTATAGGGTTCATTTCTGGCAATGCAAGACAGTCAAGTTCATAAGAAAGGCCGGGGTTGCCATCCTAAGGAATGGGTTTAGGGTTTAGGGTTTAATTAGGGTTTAGGGTTTAGGGTTAGTATTGCTGACTCTATGCCCTAAATTCCCACCCGGCTGCTTAGGCCGTACCCACCCTTTTTCTAGGGTTGGGATGGACAATGGGTGGAGCCA